GAATGCCGTGCCGAGGTTTGCGTCCCAATCAGGGAGATCCGGCAGGTAATTCACCGCTGAGGAGGGTGTTTTTTTTTAGCAGGTAGGTCTCTGGCATTGGCGGCTATGGTGTCCGAACAACCCGAGCGAGCGGCCTCGGATATCATCGTGGCCACGCTGAAGGAGTCCTGCATAACCAAGGCTGGAAGGCGTTTCCGCTCGCCTTCTAGGACCGAGGTATGTTTTCGAGCATTTGGATCACCCCCCCCCTCATAAAAGAAGAAAAAAAAAGGTTAAGATTTGCATTGTTTTTTAATTTTTATAGACCGAACACTCAGTAATTATTACTTTATTAGCTAAAAATAACAATTCAAAATAATTGATACATATTTTATGAATTATAAAAAAATGCCATAATATTGTTCTCGTGTGTCCGACGGACACATTCTGTCCTACTACGTCAGAAAAAATAAGTGTCCGGTTTAATTACATCTGGCTTTATAAACATAAGAAAGGGCGATAGTGTTAAAACTTTACTCCGTACCATGATACAAAACGTTGTACCCATGACTCCGTACAAAGATAAATAATTCGCTACCAAAAAAAAAACGTCTCAACTTATCAATAACAATAAAAAGTAAAAAAGTAAAATTGTACATTACAAAAAATAAAATTATTACTGAAAACCCATAAACTAATTTCGTTAGTATTAAGCGATTTATTATAATTTGACGACCGAAAATATATTTCCACCAGGTTTCTAATTTTATTAGGTGTGTGTTACTAATTAAAAAAGTTTAATTGCTAAAGTTTGGATGAACTATGAAACTTGCCGCGTAGAATAAATTAAAATTTGAACATTTCTATGACTAGCAAAGTAAGCTTAGGTGCTTTGCATACAGATTTACAAAACACCCGACATTTGCCAATTTTCGTGTCGAATAAAAAGTCTGGAGTTGACTTCATGATTAATAAAATAAATGTTAGACGATTTTTAAGTAGGCAAACAATTTTTTTTTTTTGATAATATAAAAGGCAAATATCTAACACAGTGTTAATTTAATTTTGCCCAAGTACTTTCGATCACTAGATCATCTTCAGGGGCATCTGGAATAAGACAAGAAACGTTTTTTTTTAATAAAGAAATTAATTAAGTTCGATAAAAAACTCGAAGTTTATGGTTGATAAAAGTTTTTATGTGATTAACGTTTATAGACTTACTTCTTCAATTGCGGCCTATCCGATAAGAGTAAAATGTCATAAACATAAAATGCAACATTACAATACACTACACAAGGACGAACAAACACTTTAAAATTTTTGAAAATAGGCGATGCTACATTGTCTATAGAAGCCGGAGACAGAATGGCTCACGGTCTAACCTAACGGAAATGTTGAGGTGACATGTCACAAATGACAGCTTGGGTGGGCAGTTACAATCATAGATATGTGATCTGCACCATTCAAAATTCTATGAAACTAAGTATTGACCAAGGTTCCAACTGACACTACTATAGGAAATCAACTGATGAAATATAAAATTATATAGAATATTTTTTAAAGTAGATTGAATAATACAGATCCCACACTCAAACCTGTAATAATAATTAGGGTGTTAGTTTGAGGGCAACTGAAGTCGACATAAAGTATGAATGCAAGAAATAGACTAAACAATATATTAGACAGTGGGTAGTTGACAACAATAAAATGGTCTACCAAGCACTATCAGTACTTAGAAAAAAGAAATCTTACTATGCAATTAAAATACTAAAAATTAAAATCAAAATTGAAAGCAAAATATATAAATGGGTTATAATCCAAGTAGTTCAGTTGAATCCACAGTCAATGGTAGAACTATAAAATTAATATGGATATACTCAGTGCAGGAAGTCTAAACAGCAGAGCTGGGTCCTCTACGAGGTGAAGCTGTAATAAAGTTTTTAAAAATAGGTTTAAATTTAGTACAATTTAAATTAATTTGAGTATTAAGACAGTGAGAGTTTTCATTTGTTTCCCTTGTAATCTTCAAATCTTCCAATAAATCCAACTCCAGATAGTTTTTCTTTTAACTAATGTCATGTAAGATAGATGAACCAGAATTGATGTTAAAATTGTGTTTGCTGGATAATAAATGTTGACCAAAACTTGAAGAGTTTGGTCTTTTCAAATGTTCAGAAACTCTAGTGGATAACTTTCTAATGGTTCTACCTACATCACAATCATCACATTTTAATTTTTAAATACCACTTTTGTCAAGTGTATTCATCCTATCTTTGGTGTTGATTAAGAAGGAACCTAAAGTGTTATGTGACTTAAACGAAATTTTGATGTTATCAATTGTAGAAGTAAAAGTTTAGATATTTTATTGAAAATGCTGCTAATATAAGTGAAGGAGAAATATCTGATGTTATTTGAAGTATTAGTTTGAAAAAACTGTGATGAATATGCAAGCTTTTCTGCAATTTTTAGTTTAGCTCTATTTAGAAGCTTATAGCTTATTACTTATAGCTATAAGCTTATAATCCTACAGCAGACACAAGGAATAATACGAGGAAAATAACCAAAGGGTACATAAAAGGATTATCAAAAAAACTTAAAAGGATAGGAAATAAATTCAACATTTTAACAGTATTCAACACAACAAATACGTTGAGATCTATTTTGTCCAAAACAAAACCTAACAATGAACAAGAAAGGACAAATAATTGCATTTATAAAATACCTTGTAAATGCGATCAGTTTTATTTACGCATGAGATAATGAACATAGGGTTCAATGGAATAATTCAAATGTAGTCCTAAAAGAAACGGATGGTAAAAAAAGAAAAATCAAAGAAGCGGCTCTAATTATGCTAAATGAGACCAATTGTGGCGCAAATTCCTCGGCAGAATTTAGTAGGATCTGGTTATCCATATTGAAAGAGGAAGTTATTAATAAGAAAATGCCAGTATTAGTAAGTCAGTAACATATAGGGAATACATCATTTATGTTTTTTAAATAACAAACATATAAAATCAGAGTTTGGTGTTTATTGAAGGTAAACTAAATTCACGACCAAATACTTACCTTGTCGGGATAGTATTATGAGGTTTTTTTCCTGGGTTTACCCTCATAATTTACTATGGAATCACTAACAGGAGAATTTTACTGTCATCATGGTATGTGTTTGTCTTTTTAAAGACGAATTACATGCTATGATTTTTTTCTGACGGATATTCTCAAGTTAAAGTTGATTTCATGTAATCGAATGAACTATCTTATAAGTAAAGTCGTCCCAGGAGAGCAACTCAATTATATTGGCAATATCATTTTAAAGTCGTCTACTTTAAAATGCATAATGTATGTCTGAATTGTCAATATAAATTAGTCAGATAAAATAAAATTATTAGAAGAATTGTTTACTAAGTAACAAAAAACAAAATTTGTTTAATTTACTGTTTGTATTTTGAGAACGATTTCTAAAGTGAAAATTGAAACGTCAATAAACGTATTTTAACTTTTAATTGTGGCTTATTCCCAGTTAAATAGTAATTATCAATCAAAAGACTGATATTTTTTGTACACACTTATGACAAGTCAAAAGAAAATGTAGAAAGTATTTTGAAGTGTGTATATTTTAAGCAATTCCTAGCTGAGGGCTTTCGGCTTTACAAAGCCATCATCAGAGCTATGGTCAATTTATAAATACCACTACAATAGAGAGAGTTCTATTCTGTCTACCTCTTCACATCAATCAATGGTCGGTTCTTACACCCGTACCATGACAAAAAATTTTTTCAATTTTTTTGACGTGTCTGTGAAGTCTAGTGTCGGTCTTTTTATATGTTTTTTTATATGTTTTTTTAAGAATTTCAACAACTAAAAAATCATAATTTCGACATATAAGGAAATAAGATCTCTCTATTGTAGTGGTATTTATAAATTGACCATAGCTCTGATGATGGCTTTGTAAAGCCGAAAGCGCTCAGCTAGGAATTGCTTAAAATATACACACTTCAAAAATACTTTTCTACATTTTCTTTTGACTTAAATAGTAATTGATTTAAAAATGTCTTATGAGGAAGTTTTTAATAAATCTAGCACATGGTTTGCTGCTAACAAACTATAACTTAACTCTAATGAAACGTAAAATTTGATTATATCTGCAAGTAATTTACATAATGCTTCAGATAGCAAAGAGACTGTTAAACTATTGGGAATAACCATAGATAATAGACTGAACTGGTCGGCTCATATCTCACAACTAACGAAAAAGCTATTTAGTTTATTATTTGTTATTTGCCAACTAGCAAAGGTTGTCAATTTTGAAACATTGAATATGGCACATTTTTGTTTATTCCACCCTCACCTAAATTATGGATTAATCATATAGGACAATTCAAATGCACTTTAAAATTTCAAAATGCAAAAGAAAGCTATCAAGATTTTAACATTGGTTAGTTATCTACAACACTGCTAACCTTTATTCATTAAATTTAAAATTATACCAATACCTACTCTGTTGATATTTCAAATTCTAACTGAAATTCACAGAAAACGAGTCCATTTACTAAAGCAGTCTGATGTTCACGTTCACAATACGCGAAACTGTCACTACTTACGCACAAATCGCTATAGATTACGTCTTTTAGATAAAAATTGCCTTAATTATAACTACTACAATATTTTACCATTAAGTATTAAACAGCTCAGCTGTAATAGTTTCAAAAAAAGTATAAAAAAGTATCTTGTGGTACATTGCTTTTACTGCTCAGAAGAATATATGACTCATTGGAGAACATCCATAACTGCTTACCGTGACTTTGACATTAATCTTTTTCTGTTTAATCTATGTTCATATAGGTAATGTATTTAAGTTACGTTTTATATTTCGTTTTTTATATACTATGGATTTTTTTTTGACTTGCTACAAACAATATTTGTATTTGTTAAGTAGGTGAATAAATAAACTCTAAACTCTAACTTTACAAAAAAGCATAATACCTATACTTCATGTTTAACATAAATATTTTTTTGTGTAGATTATGGGCAGAGGTATTTCACGTAGCAGCTGGAAGCGGCCAAGCAAAATGGCAGCAAGTAAGCGAAGATTTAGTACCAGTCAACATCACCTGCATCCAAGACTCGCCAGAATGCGTTTTTCACATCACAGCTTACAATTCACAAGTCGACAAAATCTTGGATGTTCGGCTGGTACAACCAGGTAATATTAATAGTTTTATAGTTTAAATATTTGAATTCTTACAATCACTTTGACAATTGACGTATTTTATAAAACTTTTTCGAGCTATTTCAATTCTGACCTTTATCTCCTCACCTTAATCTAACTGTTAGATTAAAACTGCTCCGAGTATATTTGTAACTTGTCGACCCGCCCTTCCCATCTTTTTGCCTTCTCTCTTAATGACTTCTATAAGAATTTTTACATCTGGAACTACAACAAACACTAATTTAGTCTTTCGGAGTCAATTTGCCTATCAGGATTAGTTATCCAAATGGATACGCTCGTCTTTTACCACGTGGAGAGATAAATTTGGACTTGTTCTTTCATAGAGAATAAGACCTTTTGGTATTTAATCTTCTCTCCTTCAGTCCAATAGACAGAAACCTAATTCAAATTTTAGGCCTCAACATAAAGAAGCACGGATAATGACATTGATTTATTCTATGCAGATTTACATCTAACGAAAACATACAAGAAACATAAAGTCAACATAATAACGAACGACTTCAACGCCAAAGTCTATAGAGGAAAAGTAGAAGAATGTGTAGGAAATTATAGAGATATAAACATTATATTTTTTCGTTCATAGAAATTAATATCTTTCGGCATTTATACTTGTCTCTAGAGTTTTAGAAGACAAAATGAAGTATTGTATAAACTTCTACAATTATAACGAAAATGGCTTAAAAGAGAAAAACGACTTGAGATCTACGTAATTGTATTCCAAAGATTTTTTTAAAATTTTCGGAAGATACGGCAACATCGAAGAAGAAGTCGAGCATATAAAGACGAGTATAAAATAAACAGCATTCGAAGCACTTGGAGAAAAAAAACATATAACAAATAAACAGCACTATTATGAAATAAATGAACCAACAAAAAGAATAATTAAAGAGAAAAAGCAACTATACAGAAAATGGCTGACTACAAACAACGATAAAGTTTATAAAGAATATAGAGAAAAAGATAGAGAAGTGAAAAAACAAATAACGCAACAAAAGACTTAGGAATGGGAAAGAACCTGCTTAAATATTGAAATATACATAGGACGTACAAGAACTTTGAGTCATGGAAAATACTGAGAGGATTGAAACAAAACTTAAAAGAAAAAAATAAACTGGGAAATTGTAACGATATATGTTGCCTACCTCAGGGTAAGAAATGGAGTAGAGAATTGGGACAGAAGCTAAGGGGGTTGAGATGGAGCAATACAAAATAATCGATACTGGTGCGTACGGCACTCAGGGGTAAGTTGAAGAGCTGGGTCGTGGATAAGTTGAATCAAAGGGGTCAGATTGGGGTAACTACAAAAATGAAAACAAAGGGATACTTACATAAATATCCTAGAACAAAACGAACAAAATATGACAGAAAAAAAGGGACTTTTAGCAATTTTCTGATAAGGGCACCGCTTCGAAGGATCCTAGTTTGCTGAAGGAAAGAAAAATAGACTCTTCTTTCCTAAAAAATAAATACACAAAAGAGGTTCGGAGATTTTTCTAAATTAAAACAAAAAAATGAATCAGAGAAATAAATCAAACAAATCAAACATTTATTTTTGTCTCAAACAAACTTATTTTTGTCTATCTGTTTACAAAGGAGATTGCTACAAAATGTTTTAAAATGGTTACTAGGTTATTTATTATTGTGGCCAAATAGAATATTAAAATTAAGGATATCCTTGTAAATGAAAATATGGTAAAATTAACCTTTTCTATATGACATCTTTTTATATAATTAAATTAAAATTTTTCACAACAAACAAACAGATTAAAGCTAACTCTCATATGTCAATACAACATTTTAAGACAGAGTAAAATTATGACAGTTATAACCACATATAATTTTAATTATTACAGATTCTTAAATTTTAAAAGAAAGCAATTATTGATACTTTAAAAAATGTCTATTTTACTTGGAAAATTATACTTTAAATGTTACTTTGTTAATTCACATATTTTACACTTAACTTTTGAAAACCTTGCTAATATCTCTGGGGTAGAAGCTATCTGGACATCATCAACGAAAAACTTGATCCATTGGAGGTTGAAACTGGCACACTGGCACGTTCAAATACAAAACTGCTCCAATAATATGCTAAATGAGGTGAAGAGGCATTTGCACAAATCTTGGAAAAACAGGAACCAAACTTATTCACTTTTCAAACATCTTAAAATCTTCAGAAAACCGAAGCGAGCAGTAGTCACTCTTTCAAATATGACATATTACATCGAGTAAAAACTCCACTTTTGGCGAATTATTGCCGGGTCACTACCTAATAGTTAACAATCTCCGTTCTGTTCAAGCCATTCCTCCACTCTGCATGACTTCTCCTCACCTCAATCTAATATCGGCGAGGGCTACCCTTCTCTTTACCTCTCCAACATAAATTTCTTGTTTTTAAAATAAGCCTCGACTATGTCACAAAGCAACCTTGAAAAGAAACTGCTTTTAAATATGTAGAAATAACACATATTATATTAATTATTTTAACTTCCTAGTTTTAACCGGAATTTGGAAATCTTCTACCTCACAATGTATAAAGAGAATTGGGGGATTTGAATGTGAATAAAGACAAAAATATTTATATATAAACGCAGGGGTGAACTACAAAATTTAAAACGCTACCAAATGTACAGGATAGAAAATGAAAGGACTATTACAAGGAACTGTTAACAGAACAAAGACCACAATTTATTAGAAAAGAAAACAAGCAAAGACGAAGCAGATCCCCACAACAAGAAATAGAAATAACAGATAGAGAAATGAGAACGGCCATAAAAGCAATAAAAAAAAAGAAAACACCAGGACCTGGAGGCATCTTCACCTGAGCTTATAAAATACGGCTCAAAAAAATTACACCGGATGATACAATGGATATTTCAGAAAGCCATAAATAGAGAGACAGCTCCTAAAGGAATGAACGGAGGCATATACGACACTCTATATTTAAGAAAGGTGATAGAAAACGATGCGAAAACTTCACGGCAGGAAGATGTATTCATAGGCCACATCTGCACACTGAAACAACTGTTGGAAAAGAAAAAAGCAAAAATAGAGATATACATTTGGCATTTGTGGAACCTGACAAAGGCGTATAACTCTTTACTAAGGACAGAACTATGGGAGTCAATGTAAAAAATTAGAAATACAGACGTAACTTATAGAAGCTACAAAGGTCTGTATAGAGAAAATAAAGTGTCCATTAAAGTGGGAACAAGAATCATAGGAGACCTTCACCACAACAAAACAGCTCCTGCAGGGTTGTTTCACATCTCCAACCCTATTTAAAATCTACTTTGAGAAAGCCTTGACAACATGAAACAAATAACGCAAGGCTTGGGAGTACTCGTACGGAAAGAATATCTATATAAGTTAAGCTTTGCAGACAATCAAGTAGTGATTGCACAAGACCAAGATGACCTCAGCTACATGATGAAGAAACTACAAGAATAATATACCAAGGCTGGCATTGATATTAACCTCGCGAAAACAGAGTACCTATCTACAACTGAAGAAGACATAGATCTACAGACAGATGGCAACTTAACAATCAAAGAAAAGGATAACTTTAAATACTTGGGGTTTATAATCACGAAAAGGCAATAACAGAGGAAGAAATTACGCAAAGATTAGGACAAAAAAGAACAGCAATCCGAGAACTTAACTTAGTTTGGTGGGAAAGACACCTAAATATGAAGATCAAAACACAGATGTATAAAACATTAGTGCAAAGTATTATGACAAACGGGGCTGAAAGTTGGATTATAAACAGAAAAACAGCAGTAAGATAGTAGCAGCAGAATGGAATGCCTGCGAAGATGCTGCAGAGTAACAATAATGGATAGAGGAAGTAATAATGAATAAAGCAAAGAAAACAAAGGAAAAAATATATTATAAAATGTGTGTATAAGATGGAAGGCAACTGTATATACGTATTTCTGACCATTGGTCGTCTTCAGTACGGTGCAGCTAAGTTAGGAAAAGGAGCATATTAACTTGGGAAAGGATCATTACAGGAGCAATGCGACAAATTTGTGGCAATAATGTCAGAAGACTCTGACGATTCCAGAGCAACAACTAACACATCCACGGAAGAAGCTAAGCTACTTGAGAAAAGAAATGCCAAACATTTAGCCAAGTTAGAAAAGGAGCATATTAACTTGGAAAATGCCAAACATTAGCCAATTTAGAAAAGGAGCATACAACTTGGAAAAGGATCACTACAGGAGCAATGCGACCAATTTGTGGCAATATTGTTGCTACAAAACTGTGGCCACCAAGCTCACCAGACCTACCGACACCTGACTTTTTTCTATGGGGTTGACTTAAGTCAGTTGTTTATAAAACTCAACCTGCTCACTTGGAAAATTACAAGAAAGAATTGCGCAAGCATGTCGCGCTATTACTAGAACAATATTTGCTAAAGTTTGTACATAATTTAAAAATAAGCTGTATTAATGTTCACAAAACAACGAAACCCACTTTGAACATTTATTTTATTGACATTTTTAACAAATTTGTAGTTTAACAAAAACCTCATTAAATTTTCCGTTTAAGCCAAAGTTTCACAGTAATTACATTAGATAGCATTTTTTATAGTCTTTTCGATGATGTATCACAAGTAGGGATTTGCAATTTAACATATTTTTGGTTGTGGTGGGTGGGGTCTAGGGGGTTAATGAGGGTAAGTTCTCTTTAATGTCATTTCAATTCCCCCTTACTATCCTAGAAACAGTTTCAATCATTTTTCAATATGAGTTTTTGTTGGTGAGAACTAGCCCATTCTAAGTTTTAAAATTGATAAACTGAGAAGATGAATTCAAGTTTGGCTACCCCGCACAATTAACTTGCATGAGCTCAGTCTGGCTCTTCAGACAATATGGGAGAATTGGATCAACTTCATGTTCACAATTTAGTTTACACAATACAACGACGTATGCAGGATGTAATAAAGACCCAACAAGGAAATGTCAGGT